TTAATGGGGCTTCCCAGCAGTCGCTGCTAAAAGGGAAATGTGATCGCTGACAGACACACAGCTGCCCAGAGAAACACAGAGTTTCCTGGCACTGAGACCAAGAGAGAGTGTTCCTGTGAGTCACCCTTCAGGGGACACAGCGTGATGTCCACTCAACTTCATACCACACACCTTTTCCACGTTGTTCATGGAAGTGTTAGGCTCCACTGAGAGGGTTGCCAGGGAGCCCTCCCACGGGGTGTTAGGTACATGTTGAAACAAATAGTGTTTGGCCGCAGCCAGATCCTGTCACCTCAGGGTCAGTTCCTCGGGACTGGGAAGGTAGAGCCTCCTTGTTTTGCTGTGTGAGGCTTCACTGTCCTGTCCCCTTTGAAGAATCTGCTTGTCCTGGTTAAGGGTTCCCATTTAGCCAACTCTCAACTATTTCAAGACTGCAGTCTTACCACTTGTATTTAGTTGCTGCCGTTATGTGCTACCTCAAGCTGGGCAGGCTTATACCATGATCCCTAACTCAGCCACGGTCGCTGTCAAGTCACTCTTCCTCTGGTAGTCAGTTCCAGAAGCCCTTGGGCTTCTTGGGTGCATCTCAAAGCGGGACTGTATAGGACTGGTGCCCTGGGAGGCAGCAGCAGGCCCCGTATTCCTGTCTCCTGTGGCACAGCCTCACACTCTCACCTGGATGCCTCTGGAATCAGGAACTAGACCTATGCCTGGCCCCCAAACAGACTGGGAAGCTGTCACACCTCCAAGTCTCCATCTTCTTTCCTATGAAATGACAAGTCATTTCAACCCTACATTACAGAGTTGTTTTAAAGGCTCAGCTGAAAAATTGTCCCAGAAAGTACTTTGATGTCTGGAATCATCAAAAAGTGCCTCCTTCAGCCTGGCTGCATGTCCAATCACAGGCCCGATGCATTTGCATCGATCTAAAGAGACTCAAAATAAAAGACCCTACACACCAAGGGTGAGGAGAGCAGTGGCAGAGCAGTCGGTAGGATTGTTGGGGCACAGACTTTAAGTCAGAAAAACCAGGACAGCCAGGTGGTAGTTGTGCATGCCTTTGATCCCAGTACTCAGTGAGGCAGAGGCAGGCAGATCTCTGTGAGTTCAAGGCCAGCCTAGTCCTGAGCCAGGAGCGCCAGGGCTACACAGAGAAACCCTGTCTCGAAAAAACCAAAATCAAACAAACGAAACAGAAAAACCAGGGACCAGCTCTCACCACATCCTTTCTCACCAACTGAGGTCTTGAGAAAATGGCTTAACCAACAGGGACGGAGGCATACACCTATAACCCTAGCACCCAGGCGCCCAAGGCAGGAGGATTATGAATACAAGGCCAGGCTGGGATACATAAACAAAGAGAAGAGGGCGGGGAGTTTGGAGAGATGGCTCAATTCTTGCCGCTCTTCCTAAGGACCCAAGTTCAGTTCCCAGGTGTCAAGTGGGTAGTACATGACTGCCCGTGATTTCACCTCTAGGGGAATCCAGTGCCTTCTTCTGGTCTATACATAGACACAAACACACACACACACACACACACACACACAAGAGAGAGGGCAGACACACACACACAAACACGTACAAATTAAAATATATTTTTAAAAAAAGAGAGAAAAGAAAATGGCGTAGCTTAAGCTTCCTTAACCGAAAAAAAAAAATAAAATGGAGATACTGGTATTTTTCTCAAACAATGAAGTTAAAATGAGATACTCTTTGTAAAGTACCTGTACTAGTGCCTCATGATTAGTGGAGGTCAGGGACAATCCTTTCATACTTTTAAAGCTCACTTAAAGCAGGGGTGTGGCCGGGCCAGAGAGAAGCACCTCTCACCTGCCGTCCCAGAGCTGCTCAGGTCGGGGAGGCCTGAGAAGGGTGCTGAGTGGGGCTGGGGCTGCATGGGGTGATTTACTGTGGCCAAAAGGAGGTACAGTGTCTCAGGAGGGGCATCCCTGGGTACCGTTATGGCCCCTTGATGCCTCACCATTGCTTCCTCCTCTAAGGTGCCATGCAAGGGCCCATCTGTGGGTCTCTGGCCTCTGAGCCTTTCTCCTCTGAGCTTCCCTTCCTTGTCGTTGTGGTCACCTGCAAAGAGGTTGTTCAGAGCCCTTCAATCACTCCATGGAACCAGGCAAGTTTTCTCATCCTGGCCTCTCCTGCAAGATGAGGGCAGATGAACTCCAAAGTCCTCCTTTGCTCCAAGTCCCACAGCCATTGTCTAGCTTTCTCCTCACCCTTCACCCATCTCCTAATGTTCCCTGTCCATCAAGACTGGGGTTGTCTTGGAGACCACTTGCTTGGTTTGTGCAAGGCCCTAGTTAGATTCCTAAGAATCCCAAAAGCAAATCTGTCCGGGTTCTCCCCATCCATAAGACACTGCCATTCTCCTGCCTCTGAACAGCACTTCCTGGTATCTTTTTGTGTTGACCTCAGCAGAGATCCCTCAAACTCTGAGAGCTGTTAAGTGCCTCCAATCCCTGTTCCTCTGGGCCCTGCAGCCCACAGCTTCTTGCTGCCCTACTGTGTGCTCCTCTTGCCTGGCCTGGAATCACTTAGTCAGGGACAGGGGCCCTGCTCATCATATTCAATACAGAGTCACTGAGGCTGGTGTTGATAATTAGTTGTATAAAATGACATTCTATATCTAAGTTGGAGACTAGCCTGGTCTTACAGAGCAAGTTCCAGGACTGCAGGGCTATGCAGAGAAATCATTTTTTTCCTGAGGCAGGATTTCTCTGTGTAGCCTTGGCTGTCCTGGACTGGCTTTGTAGACCACGCTGGCCTTGAGCTCAGAGATCCACCTGCCTTTGCCTCCTGAGTGCTGAGATTAAAGGCGTGTGCCATCATGCAGGACCGCTCTCATGCTTTTTAGTCAAGTTTTCAGCCTTCAATACTTTCCCCTGTGATTGACCTTATTTTTTTTTTCTCAAATAAATTGTTTTTGTGTCTGTGGGTGGCTGTGGGTATATAGGCGCACGTGTGTTAGGGGGGTGTAGACTTTTATGTGTGTCCTTGTGGCGGCCAAAGGACAATCTCAGTAGTTGTTTCTGTCCAACCTGTTTTTCAGATAGTCTTTGCCTAGCCTGGAGCACCCTAAGTAAATCACGCTAACTAACCAGAGAGCCCCAGGGACCCACCTGTCTCTGCCTCCTCATTATAAAATTTTATGAAATATTTAAAATATGCAATTAGCTGGGCTCAGGGGCACACGTCTGTAATCCCAGCTCTAGGGGAGGCAGGTGGATTTCTGTGAGTTCTACACAGCAAATTCAAGACAGCCAAGGCTACACACAGCAACCCTGTCTTGAAAAAATACAAACAACAACAACAACAAAAGTGCAATTATAGGGAATTTCTCCTATGGAACCCCTCCCACTCAAAGAAATTCCTTCTCAGTTTTCATAAGTTTACATTTATTCTGCTGAAAATTATGTAAATAAAATTTCATATACAATTGGGGCAGTGAGATGGTTTTGTGGTGGCGAAAAGCTCTTGCCATCACTGCCTTGATAAAAGCCTGAGTTAAATCCCTGGTGCCCATGTAAACCGGGAAGAAATGACTCTATAAAACTGCCCTCTCATCTCCACACTTACATATCATATGCCAACAGCAAATTTTAAAAATTTAAAATGTAATTCATACGAATTCAAACTAGTAATGTCCAGAAAATAAAAATAATACTTCCCATCTAAACTCCATGAAACCAACTGACCCCATTTACGGTGTTTATGAACTTGGCTATCTTCAGTGATTAGCCCCAAGGGTCTAAGGCCCACCGACTGGTGACCCCTGGTAAATCTGAAACAGATTCAAGTCTATGTCGAAGATTTACTTGGCGTTAGGCAGTGACTTGTGGACTTGTCTAAAGAGTCACACAAGTGGCTGCTTGATTTGGGAGGAGAGTCTCATTTCTTACTCCTTGAGGCCCAGAAGCCAGACATAGGGAGAATGCCACGCTTGTGGGAGGACAGAGAAGGCACAGTGTGTGAGCTGAAGAGGACAGGGAGACAAGCTTTGGATGGAGATCAGGGACTGGGAGACTGGGGGACAAGCTAGATCTAAGATTTCTTACTACGTCATCTCAGGGGAGTTTATCTCTGAACCTTGGGGATCTTATTTATAACAGAGAATACATTCCTTATGGCTGTGGTTTAACAAAAGCTAAACATCTACTTAAAACAAAACACAGCAGAGCACTCAGGAGACAGAGGCAGGCGTATGTTTGTGAGTTCAAGGCTAGCCTGGCCTACATGGTGAGTTCCAAGATAGCCCGAGCTAAAAAACATAAACATTAAACATAAAACACCAGTGGAAGCTGCAAGTAGTCTGAATATCGGTAGCAGCTACGGTAGCCACAGGCACGACTCAAACAACGGTGACATCACCCAGTTGAGTCTCATACAGATTTACTGCTATGGACACGTGGATTCCCACAGACTCTAGAGACTTGAGATGGCACCAAACAGATGGGCCGAAGTACCCCCCCCCCCCAGCTGACTTACTGTCTGCTGAAAACCTGTCCCTGGGCCCCTCTTCCCCAGCACCTGGTTGCATTCTGCTCTGGCAACACTAGGCAGGTATGGTTGAGGTCTCTGGCGGTACCTTAATCCTATTACCCGAGACCTGGAGGAAACTGGCTGGTCTTAAGTCTGGTGCAATGAGAAGGTCTCCAGCCAAGGCCCGATTACAGAACTGCTGGGGACACACCCTCTCCTCCAACCCTGCCCGGAACTCGTCGGGCTACAGAGCCCCTGGACACAGAGTAAGGGCATGCAGGGCTTTATTGGCTCTCTTCAGGCATGAGGAGTCAGTGTGGGGCTTGTGGCTGCTCCTGAAATCTGCCTCATGTCTTCTCTCGTGGGTCTTCAGGGCCCTTGGGCTGTTGGAGCTGCGTCCCTCCCTCCCTCCTTCATGACCTCTGCTGGGTAAGAAGTAGCAGGGATTTGGACGGCAGTCTCACACCCTGACCACGTAGGTTTCCCCATAGAAGAGAAAACAGGGCTGTGCCCATGAGCCGGCCCTGCTGGGGGAAGGGGCGCATGGTTAAGCGGCTTCAAGAGTCATAGATTTGGTGGCTGCGGTTAGGCAGGCTATGGCTCTGATGGCTTGGGTGACCCGGCTGACCCTGGTGACTCTGGTGGCTTGAGTGGGCTGGATGACCCTGGTGGTTTGTGTGGCCCACATGACTCTGGTGGCTGGAGTGACTTGGAAAAGCCTGGTGGTTCATGTGACCTGGATGATGACCCTGGTGGCTGGAGTGAACAGTGTGATTCTGGTTGCTTTGGTAGCCTTGATGGATCTGGTGGCTTTGGCGGTTCTGGTGGCCATGGCGACTCTGGCCGTAGACGGTGTGTGTTTGGTTGGCCCCAGCAATGGTGGTTTCCCGGTGAGAGAGGAAATTCCTTTTCAGCTTTATCTCCACCTCCTCCAGAGCCTTCAGATCTTCTGGGGTGATGTCCCTGGATTCCAAATGGCCTGCATTCTGGTAAGCCGAGGAGCGTTGCAGAATGCAGTTAGCCACATGACGCCCTTTGGCATCGATCTCCTTGGTGCAGGCAGCCACCGCAGCCCATGTCTCATCCTCCAAGGATGAGGACTTTTCTGACTCCCTCTGGGTCTCTTTGATCACTGAAGCCCCAGATACCTTCTGTTTGCTGGCAAAGGAATCTCTGTGCAGAGTTACTCCCCCTTCTCCATGTGTGGAGGTGAGGGTCTCCTTGTGGATGGTGGTGCTGTTCTCTCCTGGCCTTGCAGGTTGGGGGGCACCGGCATCGACACAGCGGTAGGTGGGCAACTTCTCTTCCGAGAGTCGGCTAAAGTGAGATTTGATCCAGCTGTTATTTGCTCGGATGGACTCTGGAGACTTGTCTCCTGTGCCCTCTAAGCCTGCCTTCTTTTTTCTCCACCGAGACCATAGCACAAGTCCTCCACCTCCAAGAAGGAGGGCAATCCCCAGCACCACCTTGCATGATGGGTGCTGGAGTAACTCCAAGAAGTCCTCCAGGGCCCTAAGCCTCACGCAGAGCTAAGAGCACACTGGGAATGTCGGAGCCCAGATGGTATGGCTCATGCTTGAACAGGCCGGAGCCCTGCGGATGTCTGGCAGGCAGGCTCCTGCCTTACCCTATCTAGGATGCTCTCTGACGCCTCAGCAATGAACCCCATTGTGAGGAAGGCGGCTGGGGGTGGGGTGAGGCGAGGCCACCCCACCACTCAGACCTAGTCTGGTAAGCCTTGTGTAAGGACTAGGTCATGTCTCCTGTCCTCAGTGGAAAGACTGTGTGGTTTACTTAGAAGACTCTTCTGCCTTCTGCTTGCAATATATTCTACTGCTCTGTCCTGCTCACATTCCAGTCTTTGGTCTCCCTCATTCCTGATCTAGTGGCCCTCACAGGACAGAGGACACTGAGTCAGTTTGGCCATGACAAACTGAGACCCCCTTAGCTGGCCTGGCATCCATTCATGGTTGATAACTATAGTACCTTCTACCCAGGCCCCATCTCTGCTGTCAGTACAATGTATACCATTTCCTACATCCCTAGCTAGTACAGGAAAGAGCTCAAAAAGGAACGGGCCCAGGAAGGAGTTCATTCTGGAACAATATGAGGTCACAATCCAGAACAGACAAAAGTGGGCTGAAGAGGCAGAGCAGATAGGATAGACCAGGGCCACTCCGTCTTGCCTGAGTGATAGCCCACAGACCCAGAATTTGCCCCTGGTAAACATGATGAAGTAGGTGGGCTGGCTAGCCAGGCTTGCCACAGATGCCTGTACAATCCTGAGTAATTCCCAAGTATTTGGGGCTAGAAATAGACCTGGGCTACTGTTTCCTTCGAAGCAAAGAGCACACTTAGAAAGGCCCAAATGGTCCTTGTAAAAGTTATGTGATTTGGAGATAGGAAGGTAGATCAGCACTTAAGAGCACTGGCTGCTCTTCAAGAGGTCTTGAGTTCAATTCCCAGTGCTCACATGGAAACTCACAACCATCCATAATGGGATGTCAATTTCTGGCATGCAGGAGTACATGCAGAGTGCTTGCATGCATAAACATATCCTGTTTTGTTTTGTTTTTTTTCCAAGACAGAGTATCTCTGTGTACCCTTGGCTGTCCCAGAACTCCCTCTGTACACCAGGCTATCCTCAAACTCAGAGAGATCTCCTAAATGCTGGGATTAAAGGTGTGCACCACCATTGCCCTGCTTTAAAAAAAAAAAAAGTTGCTATCCATAACTCCTGTCCCCACGGACCCGACACCTCTGATTTCCTCTGGCACCTGTAGTCACGTGCCCACACCCATATACAGGCACACACACCTACAGAAAATTTTCTAAAAAGCATTTCTTTTTAAAGTTGTTGCCAGCGGTGGTGGCACATGCCTTTAATCCCAGCACTCAGAAGGCAAAGGTAGGCAGGGAGTTCCAGGACAGTCAGGGCTGTGCAGAGGGTCTTTGTTTCAATCTCTTACACCCATTCTCAAAAAACTTGTCATTTGAAATGTTGTCTTTAATCAATTATATACATACATACATACATATATATATATATATATATATATATATATATATATATATATATAAATGTTTCATCTTTCAGAAGAAGGAGTGGTCCACTCTGTGTGTGAAGGAAGAAGAAGGATGAAAGTTTAGGAGCCTTCACCTCTGCAGCCTTGCTGAAAAGCCCTGTGACCATCCGCTAACCTCACTGGAAATAACAACTCAAAGTCCACTTCAGAGGCTATTAACAGGAGCGGGTCCAGGGCCAGTGGTCCTTCTAAACAACCCCTCCCTCCAGCCCTTGCTTATAATTTTTTTAGCTTTATTTTTATTAAAAATTTTAAATTTAAAATATAATCACATCACTTCCCTCTTCCCTTTCCTCCCTCGAAGCTTTCCTGTGTCTCCCCCTTTGCTCCTTTTCAAATCAATAGCCTCTGGTTTTTTATTGCTACATATGTGTGCACACAAATCCTAAATAGAGCCTGCAGAGTCCACGTGTACATGATTTCAGGGCCGACCACTTTGCACTGGATAAGCAACGAGGGGTTCTTCCTGGGAGAAGTGGCTAATCTCAGCAGTCAGAAGCTAGGATCTCGTGAGATTTCCACCTCCCAAGCTAGCATATCTATCAATATTGTCATTATTCAGGCCTTGTTTAGGCATGCCATATTTGGTTATAACTTTGATTTTTTTTTTCTAAAAATTGTTTTAAAGCTGAAGATTACAGAAACCATTACTTAAGATCCTTTCTTTTTTCTTTCTTTCTTTTCTGGTTTTCTCTGTGTAGACCTGGTGCTCCTGGAACTTGCTGTGTAGACCAGACTGGCCTCACAGTGCTGGGATTGAAGATGTGCACCACCACACCTGGCTTCAAGGCCCATTTTTATAACCAGATGCTATGAACAGCACTCAAGTCCGAGTTCTGCATGTGCTGGGAAAGCCGAAGAGCAGACCCTGTGCTTACTATGTGCTTACACATAATAAGCTTTCTTGGTCTCAGCAAGCTGCTTCTGTGTATGACTGACAAGCTTCCACCGAGTTTATCCTTTTCTTAACAACTGAAGACCCACTTTCACTTTCAAATAGCAAATGGTGGTTAGTTTGTCATGGCTGACCACTAAAAGCAGCCACTGCCTATCTTTTAATTCTTCTTTATGATCTGCTTTTTTAATTTATTTTTTGAAAGATCTATGTATTTATTATTTATACAGTATTCTGCCTGAATGTGTGCCTGCATGCTAGAAGAGGGCACCAGATCTCACTACAGATGGTTATGAGCTACCATGTGGTTGCTGGGAATTGAACTCGGGACCTTTGGAAGAACAGCCAGTGCTCTTAACCTCTCAGTCATCTCTCCAGCCCCCTGTTTTTTGTATTATAATGGAACTATTGTGGTCCAGAACTGACATGTATTTCCTATATTTCAAACAGAAGCTAAAGGTTCTCCATGCTCTTCCATTACTTATTGTGGGTTTTTATATGATATTTGATAATTTATTAGCTAATCTTCCTAAAAAATAAAAATTATTTTACATTCATTTATTTGGGGGGGGGTAGCGCATGTATCATGGCATGGGAGCACATGTGGAGGTGGGAGGGTGACTTGCAGAAGCTGGTTCCCTCCACCTTATATAAGTTCCAGAGACTACATTTACATTATCAGCAGCAAGAACCCTTACTCAGCATGTCATCTTGCCAGCCCCTTAACTTTCAACTTAAAAGAATACTCTTCATTTATACAATCAGCACAAATTAGGAATACTTTAAAAATAAGAACAAAAATGAACTAGCTAGGTAGTGGTGGAGCACACCTTTAATCCCAGCACTTGGAAGGCAGAGGCAGGAGGATCTCTGAGTTCCAGGACAGAATGAGGTCCAGGACAACCAGGACTACACAGAGAAACCCTGTCCGGAAACAAAACAAAACTAAACAAGGAGAACTACACAGCTTCAGACCGTGCCTTCAAGAATGCTCTGTGTTCACTGAAGCACTTGGGGAAGGTTCCTCCCTCCTATTTTGAGGGCTTTCTGCCCACACTGATACAAAGCAGCATGTGACAGCTGTCTCCATCTGCTCCTGAGTGTTGGGAAGCACAGTCCATTCCAGAAGGCAAGAGAAACAAATTCAGTGTTTGCCTACATGTCGGAACTCTGACAGGTCCCTCTCACTCTACGTCCTTTATGCCAGCTCCATGGCTGGCCATCTTGGGGGAATTATGTTGAGTTCTGTGGCTAAGAGCCTGAGGCTCTTAGCTCGTGTTTCTCAAGCGAGGAAACTGGATTGCAAAGGGGCTGTGATTTCTCAGCTGCTGTGATAGCCAGACCAGCTGCCATAGAGGACATTCAGTAGACCAGGCTGGCCTCAGACTCAGAGATCTTCCTGCCTCCCACAGCCCCCAGCTTCCTGGTATGTGGTGAATGGAAGATCAGACACCATAAAGAACCCATGAGCCAAATTCCCCTAAACTGTCCAGGGCACCCCATGCTGGTTGCAGGAGTTAGAGAAACAAAAGGGAAGGTTCAACGACAAATTCTGGAGGTCTCTGTAAAATCCTGAACACAAGATTTCAGAAACACAATGGATACGAAAGCCAGTCTTCCAGTCCCTGCATTACAGTGTCCTTGACCCTTAAGACAAAGCAGAGTGCTTTGTTCAAAGCTAAGGATTATCAGGCTTTGCTTTAAGGGAATCAGTCCTCAGCTCCACTCCAGGTCACCATAAGCAAGCTCTAGTAGACACACTGCCCTCCTAAGTGTGAGCACCCGCTTGCCCCTTGACAAACACACATATCACCTGGGTACTGAGCTATGAAGGGGGCTCGGCCAGGCCAGTGGTCACTGTCACAAAGCACAAAGCAGCTTTGTTACAATGTTGAAAAAAAAAAAAAAAGGACTGACTGTTCCTAGGTATGGTGGAGGAGAAAGTTTATTGTAGATAAAAGGGAGAGCATAGCCAAGGGCAGAGACATCTGGGAGAGTTCCAAGTAGATATCACCCTGACTCCTTCTCTTTCCCTCCCCTTCTCTCCTCAGAAAAGGAAAAGGAAAGGGAGAGAAAGGGAGCCAGGTGCAGCAGCCAAGAGGTAAAAAAAGAAATGGGTAACCAAAGTGGCTAGATTTTGACAACCAAAGAGCCTCTGGGGGAAGGGCATCTCAGTTCCGGGGCTGGGGGTGGGGGATAGGTAGAGGGTGGGTATGCCAGCCACACCCTGTAACAGGTAGAGAGTAAAGGATGTTGGGAGAACCTGCTTTGATATGTCAAATAGACACTCAGCCATTCGTCCCAGGTCTTGAGACATCACAAACGTGACTTGTAGTTTTAGTAATTATCATTACAGGAATCAATACCTTCAAATGTCTAGCACTCTAAAATTTAAATCATGCTTTCACTCAGGTTCATCCAGATTCTTCTTCTGTCTACCCCATGGAAGAGCATTATCTATCATTCCCATGTGTCATATGGGTAAACAGGGTTAGAATGTCCCATATAGTAAGATCATTGGCAGAGCAGTGATTGGAAGCTAGAGTTTTGCATCCTAACCTTCTCAGTTAGGGCCACAGTATTCTCAAAACTGGTACCCACCAAACACCATTTGTTGGGATAATCTCAGAGGAAAACTTAGAAGGAGGTGTTAGAATCAGTGTGCAGAATCAGGAGCTTGTCGTCAGC